TATGGGTTTCCTGAGCTAAACTTTAGTTCTGCTGCTATGTTAAGACTGCTGGGAGACAAACTGACAACATTTTTGTCACTTTGCTGCTGTTTTTATTCTCTCTGCTCTTCATGTTTATTCTTATAATTATTGCTGTTATTAACTTGTGTTTTTCTTCCAACAGAAACACAACCTGACCAGTTTTTCCGTGTTTGTCTCTGTCTCGTCCTCTCAAACCCAGATAGTTAAAGCAGATGGCTGTCCTTCCTTGGCTTGCTTCCTGTTAAAAGGGAGACATTCCTTTCCACTGTCACCAACATGTTGCTCAGGATGGGAGACTGCAACAAAATGGAGAGTCGACAAATCAAAATGAACAAAGCCAGGGTGGTGCCATTTTATTTAAAGCTTTTTGACAGCCCATTGGAAAGGCGATTACCCTTTTAAATGGTAAAATGTAAGGAACATGCATTTGTGGGAGGGTTGCGCACAAGAAAAAATTACCAACTCAATGGCCACATTTTATGCAAGTAATACGCCTGCAGTCATCATATGCTGTCTGCTAGTGCAGAGGTTCTCAAACTGGGGTCCCAGGACCCCCARGAGTCCATGAGCTGTATCTTAGGGCTCCTCAAAGGTTTTCAATAAACTGTTCATGTGATTTTTATTTTAAAAAGTGCATATGGAGCAAAATACACGAGTAAAACAACATACTAAACCAAACAAAAGATAATATTCCCATGGTATTTCGGAGATAAAATGATAGTAAAGTACTTTTTAAAGAGCATGGGGTTTATAAAGGGGTCCCTGGAAAATTTTCACCCTTGTAAGGGGTCCCCAGCCCCAAAACGCTTGAGAACCGTGCTAGTGGTATTAAACTTTATTTAAACACATGTAAAAATAAAGGCTCTAATCTAGATTACCTTGGAATTGTTGGGGGATCATTGCTAAATGTCAATTTTTTTTCTTGATGTCGCCATAATGTCAGAAGTGAAAATAAATTATACCACTAGAGGGCGCTACATCCTGCAGCCCTGAAGCATCACATCATTCTCACAAGGGTTCTCAATGCAAGTCATGCCAGCTGAAGTGAGGCTGTAAACTGTCAGAACTGGACTCAGTCCGGTCTGAAGGATGGGTTCTGCAGCATGAGTCAGGTCCTCTGTAAAGACTGACCTTAAAACCTCTCAGAACCTCATTCGTCTGATGAGAGTCTGCAGCTCCTCTCACTTCTCCTCACAGCCAAGAACTGGAATCAACAGTCTTCTTGGAGACACGGGGAGAAACAGATGACCCAGAAGCAATACATATGAGAAAAAATATATTTCGTTTTTAAAAAAATGCTGTCTTGATGTCAGCGTGCACGAGGAGGAACGCTTGGCAAAGGGAACAGCTGAAGTAAGGATGTAGGCCAATGTTTCAGCTTCAGTGGCTCTGCTGAGAAATAAGAGTTTCTTTAATAGGCCTCCTCTTCAGCCCATCATACATGCTCCTGTTGCAATATGAACTCTGTGCTTTAATTGCTCTGTTCTGGCATCATGAGGCGTCTCCATAGGTGAGGAGGTTGCACTTGCCTCCCTGGCATCTGTTGCCAGGATACCAGAGAGCAGGGAGAGCATGGTGTGTGGGTGAACAAGCAGGTGAGGCCTCAGACGGCTGAGGTATCGTAGATGATTAATATGCAGGCCTGAAGTTTCCTTGCTGCTGCTTCTTGGTGTCTTTGCATCTATATGAACTGATACCCCGAAGATAAAACCGTTTTATTTTCATTTATTTTTAATTTGGACACATTCTCCCTAATTAAACCTATAATAGTCAATAGTGCAGCCTCCATATGAAACCTGTTGTTTCTCAGACATGCAACAAGGTCATAATAATCACTAGGCTGCTTCAGCTGCAGCTCAAACCAGCATTTATGCATAAATAACTCGAGTTTTTATCAGTTGACCCATGATTTTGACAAATAAACGGGTAGAAAGTGATGCAGTGGTATCTGGGACTGATCCCAGACAACTCATGGTTTTGCATGTAAATATTTATATTAATGGAAACATACGTATCCACTTTTTTTAGCTGTTAAATACACATAAATAAGCAACTATTTAGTCATAAAACCCTGTATCAAACTGGAATAAACTATGTCCACAGTGGTCTTAAAAGGTAGTGAATGAAATTATCAAAAATTAGGAGCATTAAAAAGTATACATAATAAAAATAATCTTACGAGGTATTCATTTTTTAACAATTCACCAGCTATAGTTTTTATTTTCTCTCCAGTGTCTCTTAAAAATACCACTCGGTGAAATCACTTTTTGTCTATAGTTATGGTTAAATAATAAATATTTGTATAAATGTCAGTGTTTTATTGAGGCAAAACGTGTTTTCAGCAACTGTAATACTACTACACTTACTACCAGAGTTGTAAAGTAACTAAGTACAAATACTTCTTTACTGTACTTAAGTGGAACTTTTGGGGTATCTGTACTTTACTTGAGTAATTATTTTTTAGCCTACTTTTTACTTCTACTTCTTACATTGTCACACAATTATCGGTACTTTCTACTCCTTTAATTTTTAAAAAAGGCAGGAAGTCGTTACTTTTATTTTTTGCTTTTCATTCCAGCTTATTATTGTAAAAAATAAATACTATCCATATAAATTGTGCCTCCTAGATAGAGTGAATTTAATTGTGGTTGAATGAGAAGTATAAATATATAAAACTCTGATACAGTATTAGTTTGTACACAAACAAATCATGTCACACTCCAGCAGGATATAATAATTAAAATAAAAGAACTGTACTTAAGAAGTATTTGTATTTCATGAATTATATTATTGCATTTGGCCGCAGCCCTCAGATAGATTTTTATTTTGGAGAAAATGTATAGGCAGCCTTGATA